GCAAAAAATAGTTTTGCTTTCTCCTTGTTGCTTGTCACCTTCTTGCCACTTTCTCCCAGCAATGGACCAATTCTTTCCTTAATCTTTTTCTTGTTTTTAACATGTTGGAAGAAGCCTTTCTTCATTGTGAGCCTTAGCTTTCCTCACTTCATCTTTACAGGCTCCGGCTATTTGCTGATATTCTGCCTTAATTATGTCCCCCTCTTTCCACTTTTTATACTTATCTTTTTTGTCTTTCAATTTGTCAGAGAGTTCTTTATGCAGCAATGCTGGTTTCTTTTGGGAGCTGTTATTATTCTTCTTCATTGGTATTGCTTTTGTCATCTCATTTTTCAAAATTTCCCAAGCTTCTTGGGTTGTTTTCCTCTTGAGAATTCTCATCCATGGAATTCTTCTAAGTTTATTGAAATTAGCTCTCTTAAAGTTCAAGATTCTAGTTTGACTTTGTTCTATTACTTGTGTTTGCATAATTTTTAATTCCAATATTGCATGGTCATTTGCCCCCAGGGTTCCTGTGGCTTCAACACCTTGTATCATTTCCTCACTGTTAGTGAAAATTAAGTCCAATATGGCTGATCCTCTTGTTCCCTTCTCTACTTTTTGGGAAACAAAGTTGTCTGCTAGGTTTGTCAGGAACCTGTTGGATCTTCCATTTGGTGCAGAGTTTGTTTCCCATTTGATGTCAGGGTAGTTACAATTCCCCATTACTATTGTGGTGTAATAAATAATAAACACTCATCAAGAATCAAAAATTACAAATCAATTTTCAATGTTAGTTCCAATTATTGTATTTATATCATAGAGTCATAGAGTCAGAAGGGATCCTGAAGGTCTGTTTTTTCCCGAGTCTTTTCTTGAAAATTTCCAATGATGGAACTGTTCTGTTACATAAGAGCACTCACAGTCAGGAAATTCATCCTTATTTGGATCTGTCTTTGTTCAGCTTGTATTCATTGAGGTTTTTTTAATCCTCAAATGCTCTGGAGAATAAATCCAAACCATGTTTCTGACACCCTTTTATGTTTTGGAAAACCATTTTCATGGCTCTTAGCCATCTCTTCTTTAAATTAAAAATATAAAGTAATTGGAGAACCTTACATTTCTTACCTTTGATGTTCAACAATTCAAATGTGCAAATCTATCAAGATCTTTTGAATTTTGTGCCTGTTTTCTGTAATTCAATCGGACTATCTGTGTGATTCTTTCCTCAACTTTGTGTCATCAACAAATTTTATGAATATCCTTTTTATTTCTCTTTCTAGGTCATTTATGAAGATATAAGAGAGTCCTGAAGCCAGAACTAAACCCCAAGATAAGAAACTGCAGACTTTCCTCTATGTGGGCATAAAGAACTATGTGCTGCCTATGGTTGTTCAGTCAACTGTGAATCCATCTGGTAATCCATATCACTGATCCTATTTATAAAAAAAGGAGTCAGTGATCTACTTTATCAAATGTGTTATGAAGTCTAAGTATATTCATAGCATTCCCTAGATTCACTAATTATCTGGCATGATCTATGCTAGCTTTTGATAAACACTCTTCTAAGTATTTAAAAACCCACTGCTTATTTTTTCTAGAATATTCCCAGGTGTTTATATCAAGTTGATTGGTTAATAGTTTTGAAGTTCCTCCCCCCCCCCCGCTTTTTAGGCGGTGGTGGTGAGACCCCTCCTGAAGAAACCATCCTTGGATCCAGCTATTTTAAACAACTTTCGTCCAGTCTCCACCCCGCTTTTTTTAATACCATCACAATATTGGCTCTTCTCTGGTTTTCTGGCATTTCCTCTGTGCTACAGGATTTCTCAAAGCATGGTTACTCACAGATGCTGGATATTACATGCAACTTGATTAGTAAATTGAACTAGCAATTTACTTCTGGATGTGGCTCTTTACATAAATATATTACCAACAGCATCTTGACTTTAGCAGCTTTCTAAAAAATATTACATGTACCACACATTAAAATGCACCGAGATGATGTATTAAAAATCAATATGGAGATTTTTGAAATGAACTTTCTAATAACAACACAGGAGTCATTAAAATTTATCTCAAAAGAAGCCGCAGATATCACTTACCAAGATCTTTGATTTTTGGAAGCACATTATATGTAAAGTTTTTATATGAAGCTATTTTCCCTTCAGGGGAAGCAATTCCCACATGTGATTCATAGATTCTTACACTTTTGGGTTTCTTAGGAATGGGATGTTTCCACTACACAAGAAAAAAATAGTTCAAGAATAAAAATCTGAGCTGTTAATTTAAAAGCTGTTAGTTTTCTTAGGTAAGAATGGACATGATGTTAAAATCTAAACCAGCACAATAGGTTTTATATAAACACAAGGTATGGAGCAATTATTGAGAGCAATTTAATGTGCACAAACTCTTCTCCAAAGTTCCCATGGGACGTAATTTAATCCAGGCACATCCACAGGAAATGTTGCTGGTTTCAAAATGTAGCTACAGTTAAGCAAAAGTCTACCCCCTTTTTACATTCTAGCAATGCACATTAAAAGGGGGCAGGTATTTGATCATCTGGATGAAATTATCATTGCAAATGCTCCAACCAGGCAGATACTGCAAAGGCAAAATATATATTGGCTACTTAGATTCCTATTTTTTTAGGTCAGAAAATTCTTTGTGAATAACTTATTAAAATTCCTCAGATCAGAAAATTCATACTATTTCAATTTGACCAAATTGTATGACCAAACAATTTGAAAGAAAACTTCTATTTTCAAAAGTCACAAGATATTAAGTTTTATCATTAACTTGAAGAACATAACACATAATAGATACAATTCTCTTTTACAGTGTAGCAGAATTATAGTGGTATTATTTATCATTATTATTTTTGTCAGCAAATAATGCTTTTAGGAAAATCTTAGATTCCTGTGAAGCAGTTTAAAAACTAGGGCATATTTTAAAGTTTATCGGTTCCTGTACTATTTATATTGGAAACATTATCCACTGAACGTCTTATATTGTCCTTTCCACTCCATTGCATTCCAGTCCTCAGTGCTCATCTTTCTTTCCTATCAATAAATGAAAGATTAATTTACTGAGCCTATTACCAGGAATACTGTAGAAAGAACATCCAAAATTAATAACAAGTCTCTTGACTGCTAAACAAGTTGTAATTGCATGCAAGTTGCATAAATCAGTATTGCTTATCATACAGAACTGAATTATTGAAATATGGAATGCTCTTTGAAATGTGAAAGTTCACAGAGTTTGTAAGACTGAAGGATGCAGATGCTCTGTGTACTATTATAAATTTAATTTTGTAAAGAAAGCGTTTTCCTTTTGTAGTCTATGTTACTGTGCATATAAATAATAAATAAAATTATATTTAAAGTTGTTTGAATGAACCGGAAGTTTAGATTCTTCAAAATAATCACAGTAATAAAACTCACTCACTTTAATATTCCCAACAGGTTCTTCAGTTGACCTAAGTAGTTCAACAACATCTATCATCCTATGGGGGAAAGACTGAAACTGAATCTCAAATACAGCACTGCTGTAGAGATACCATGTGCCTTCATTTATTCGGAGGGGAGGGGAGTGACAGCATCCTGTGGATTCATCAGGTTAACTTTTCAAACAGGATTCGATTTGTAATATGGCATGAAAACACTTCTTCCAGTCTGATACAGGCAGCACTACCACTTCTAAGTGGGTAAGCAATATACTGAAGCAACTCAGCACTCATTAAAGTTTCCTGAATGTAATTCCTGGAAATTATCTATCTATGCTATCTTGGCAATAGTGTGGAAGTAGTTTGCCATTACTTTCTTCTACAGTCTGAATGTCTTCCATCTAGATCGGGCCATTCTTAATTTTTCAGCACAAATAAGATAAACTATGGAATACCTTTTTATTGATACACATAAAAAATACCTTTAACAATTTGCAAGTATAAATGTGTGCTGCTATGTTTGTGTGTGTATGTGTGTGTGTGTGTGTGTNCTACCTACCTACCTACCTACCTACCTACCTACCTACCTACCTACCTACCTATCTTTGGCAGATCTTTATGGGCAATTGAAGCAGTATTGATGGGGAAGAAGAAAAAGGAAAGAAAACTAGCATGGAGAAAAATCGAGTGGAATATTATAAAAGGCAACTAAAAAAATAACAAAACCATTCTATATTGCATTTGTTTGTCCAGTTTACATATATAAAATTGTATTTGATAGCTGACTCCAATAATTTTCCATAAATATTATCCAATGATACAGATATGATTTTTTGAAAAAAGAAGCTTATATGCTCCATTGGTTTGTCAAACTACCAGAAGAATTTTGCAAAGTAAACAGTTTTATCTGATACTTTATTTTTTTACAATTAGACAAATATTCATCAGTGAATCAAATTGGCTAAATTGCTTGTCAAAGCCCAGCTACTAAATTCTCTTGGATAAGTTATGCAGCATCTTTCACAAGCTTTTAATGTTGCTGCTCTTAAAGAGCCATAATAATAAATTAATAATTGAATGAAAACAAATGACCAATAGATTATGGGTATGTAAATTAATTAAATTCAATGGCACGTATCATATTATTTATACCTACTTTGCGTAGTCAAAAAGTCGACTATCCCAAAGAATGTGTGTTCCTCTAGCACCAGAATGGAAAAATGCAGAATCAGTACCATCAAAATTGTTCAGGCCATCTTCAGAGTTCTTTGAAGCATGACTGTGCACAACATCTAACAGAACTGTGATTCCCATTGAGTGGGCAACATCAATCATTTCCTTCAAGTCATCTGGAGTGCCATATCGACTAAAATGTATAAACATTTATAATTAATTGTATACAATGTTGATTTTTCTTTAAAAATTCATCATGATTACTACTATTATGATTCACTAGAACTGTAACTGTTATTTAATGACAGCATATTAGGGAAGCATAGAAGATATTTTATCTATTTAAGCTTAAGAAAAAACAAGTAGTAAAACTGAGATGATTATAAAAGGCACATCAATCATGTGGTATAATCCTAGGATAAACAAACAACAATTTAACCTATATAGAATGGTAACTCAATAAAATTTACATTTTCTTTGTTTATATGCTGGTATACTGATCTGACACTCAGAGTGAAAGAAAGAAGGTGAAAAAATAACTCACTGGGGGGCCTTAAGCAAATCATTAGAACTTTCTGAAGTCATAGGAAAAAAGTAAGTTCAATCTCTCTCATATGAACGCTGTGAAGAACATACGAGATATAGACTGTAAGCACTTCACAAGTAAAAAGTACCGTAGAAATGAAAGATTGAAATTTTAATTTGCATCACTTTTCAGTCATTTCAAAAGGAAATTATAACTTAGTTCACATTAAAACTGACTTTTAGAAGAGTACATTTTTAGCAGCTTTAATTTCAGCAGCATATGCAGTGTATGTTGAATGTATCTAGAAATGGAACTGCAGTGGGGGGGAAAAAGCTGGAAGGACAAGCTGTAGCTACAAAGATAGCTTGTTCTAATCTCAAATACAGTATCTTGTGATAAAACTCTTGATTATAAATGCAAAGCTGGCAGCCATTAGATTCCAGATAGCTTTGAATCTATGATAATACTCAAGTAATTAATAATGTAACTTAGCAATGAACTGCTTTTTTACCTAATGTGAAAGTTCATATGCTTTATGCTTGAATATTTGTTTTTAAAACTTTAATATTTCTAAATCTAAAATAGATTTATTTTATATTATTAGAATTAATTATAGTTATAAATAAATTACAGTGTTCAATCAATCCAAAACAAATGTATTTTGTGCATGTTTCCCCTAATTATCTTTCATTTCTGAAAACAACAAGACTTCTGACAGAGAAACTAAGTATTCCATGTTTTGAAGAAATCTACTTGGATAATAAATTAAAAATAAAAATTATTGTTTTATTGTATATTATCTTGACCCTGGTCCCAACAAAGGAAACAAAATAATTAAACAAGTCAATAAAAATATTCATTTATTTAAAATAATTTAATTATTCAGTATACATTTCTTCAGATTGCCTCATTCCCAACTTTGAGATTTTATTTGGACACTGCTGCCATCCAGAGATATGTTAAAATCTGGGAGTGGAGACTATACATTCTTTCAACTGAAATGAACAATTATTGAGGTGTAGGATTAAAAAACTCAAGCCCCTAAAATACTTTCAGCTTTACTACTACTTTCCTCAGTTTCTTTCTTATGTTCAGTAATATTTATTTATTAATCAAATGGCTTTATAAGAAAAGTTGAAAATTGCAGAAGCTGCCTTTTATCAAGCTCTTTCATATCAATGAATCCATATCAGACCACATTTTTATTGTTTGTAATATGGAAGGGCGACAGTCACTGAAATATTGTTCCATTTTGGACTGTAAGTTCATTAGTAGCTACAAGTGCTGAAGTTACAAACACTGCCCGTCATATAATCTCCTTGATCAAGTTAGTCAATTTTGTCTTTTTCATTGGTTTAGGTCTTTCTGATAGATTTTTCCTGTGAAGAAGAAAAAAGAATAAAAATACCAAAAATAATAAAACATACCTTGATGCTGCAAAAAAACTTGTGATCTGATAGCCAAAACTTGCATAGTAAGCATGTTCCATCACAGCCATTAATTGAATACAGTTATATCCTGTTTTTAGAAGAAAATTAGTGATTGCAACAGTGGTTTCTAAAGAAAACAGTGGCCAATATTATAACTGATTTTGGTCAAGATCATCTATATTTATCAAGGCATAAGTTAGAAATACATTAACAGGAAATCTAATGAATTAATCCCAAAAGGAGCATATATTTTTTAATCAAAACTGGAAAAGCCAACATTTGAAGCAATGTTTTAAGTGCATTGAAATTGGCCTTTTACTAAGAAATATATAATATACAAATATAATTGTAATTTGACTTTAGAACAGTAAGTATCCCAATGTGCATGTCATGAACTTAAACTGCACTTTTGATATTTAGTGTTAATCATAAAAGTAACTGACTTTGTTCTTAATGATTCAAACATTTCCATTTCTAATTGACATTTTTCCTTTCAAATTTATTTCTCCCAAGGAATCTCTTAAAAAAAACATTAAAGAAGCAGAAGTTTGATCTGAAATTTACTGAAAGTTCAGAGCACCAAAGAAAAATAAAATGTTTCTATTTGTCCCTTATCCCACTCAAAATATTTTATACGATGTTAATGAAGTAAATCTGAAGGGAAAAGTATAATTTAGTGATGAAACCACACATATTTAAAAGAAAGCTTTTACTAAGGCAATGAAGCCAACATATATAAAAGCAGATAAATGTCCCCTTTAAGCAAGGATTATTGACAAAGAATAAATTAGAGGTCAAACTTGAAAGTCTGTAGACATAATCAGTTCATGAATTAGCACTTAGTATCAACATTAATTAAATATTTGATTAGAATATTTCACTTAACACTTAATTTAGTTTTATATGACTGCCTATAGTCATATTTATGGTGTGGTATCATATTTATTTATTTCCTGTTATCAGAAAATTGCAATTTTAAAAGATTGTTCTGTGAAAAAATACATACAATACAATAGCAGAGTTGGAAGGGACCTCGGAGGTCCAACTCCCTGCCTAGGCAGGAAACCCTATACTGATTCAGGCAAATGGCTATCCAACATCTTCTTAAAGACTTCCAGTGTTGG